TGAAGAGTTTTCCCTTTCATCCATAAGATTGGGTAGGTCACCTATCACCTACCTTGTTGCTGGCAAAATACCAGCAGAGGTGGGTAGGCAACAGGCACAGCATCTCTCACCTGCCAGCCCACACTGGGGAAAGTATATGGAATTCTGGACATTGCCTCATAGTTGCCCAGTTTTGTATTACCGGATCCGTCTCATCTAGCACATGGTGATGTTATGTTGTGTTATGTCTCACTGTCTCTATGGCAATATACATTAAAGAGATATGCTCATATCATCACAGTATTGCAGCATATGAACTGCGAGTATAAATTTCTCAAACTTCATCTTAATTTGGAGCATTTGAAGTATGACATGAAACAATACTGCTGTCTGCAACCAAATAGTGCAATACTACCCTGGACATGTATGCATCCATGAATGTAATAACCGCATATATTAGTAAGCTGTCTTTTGAAACTTTCAATATCAAGTTACCCATGTCTAGTTCTGATATGACAAGGGATAATACAAGTATAGCCATATCAGGTAATGATATCCTGCTGGAGACAAAACCCACATCAGTAGTGCCATGCTACAAAATGGAAAAACATCGTCACAAATTTGCAATGAGGTTGACTTCTCAAAGACTATAAAGTGGACTTTTGTGTGTCTGGTGCAGATATGTTGTTGAAGACAAGGCTAAGTACACTTGCCTCCATTGTTGAATTTAACCACATGAATCAGGCCTCGAGCAGCTTTCTTATTAGTGGTACTAACAAGCTTCTCTTAGTGATGGAGACTGGGATTTCCTCCAAACGATGTTGAATCCACAAACAGAAGGGATTATGGTAGACAATAAACAGCAGAAAGTTTAACCGGAAGCCATGAGAAGAAATCAGCAGTGTTAATAAGTCCAAAGGCCAGTATCATTTAACATAGAAAATAGGAGGAGTAGGCCATTCAGCCCTTCAACACTGCTCCATCATTAAATATGACCACAGCTGATCATCTTACTCAGCACCCCGTTCCCACTTCCTCCCAATATCTTTTGGCCTCTTTGGCTGTAAGAACTACATCAAACTCCTTCTTGAAAACATTCAATGTTCGACCTTAGCGACTTTCTTAGGTAGATAATTCCACAGGTTCACCATTCTATGGGTGAAGACATTTCTCATCTCAGTCCTAAATGGCCTAACCAGTATCCTCAGACTGTGACCCCTGGATCTGTAATTCCCAGTCATTGGGAACATCCTTCTTGCACTTACCCATCTAGTCTTGTTGAATTCACACCTCAGAGGCTCACCCCTCTACTGGGTCTATCCTACAACTGCAAAGTCAAGAGGTCTAAAAGGAGGTCTCTGGAAGTTAGTTGATAGACATGACTAAGCCAGGCCATCGATTGATTGGTTTGTGAAACAACTCTTTGATCTAGCTTCCCAACATGAAGTATTCTTCACGTGATCAACTGTACGGGAATTGCCTCCACTCTATAATTACCTTGTCCTACCTTATACCCTTTCGCATTTCTAATGTCAACTTTCATTCCACCCACTCTGCCATGTGGGTATATTGAAATTAGTTCCAAATGACCAAAACATAGCATCTAATGTAGTATGGTTGATGTTTACTACTGCAATGTTGGACACATAGCCTTCCTGCTCCTCTGATGCTGCTTGGCCTGCTGTGTTCATCCAGCTCTACACCTTGTTATCTCAGATTCTCCAGCATCTGCAGTTCCTACTATCTCTGGACACAAAGAATGTCTGCTGGCCCTGGCATCTTCATTGCAATGGGTCCTTTCTAGATGGCCAAACTCCCCAGAAACACATTCATAATTCCAGCACCACCCCAAACCGCCAATAATCCTGTAATACAACAAACCTATCTAGAAATCCTGGAAACAATTTCAACCCAACTCCACTTGAACATCTCCATGGAGATCAGCAAATTTATGCAAAAGACTTTGAGGACACACAAACTGGACAGGATTGCACTGGTATTTTTTGTAGTGAGCAGAAATCTCAGCTTCTTGCAGATGCTTCCTGGTGAACACCTCTTTTCTAATTAACTGATTCCACAATACCACATATTAGTAAAGTACAAACACAGTGTAATATAAACTGTGCACTAAAATGAATACAGCTAAAAGAGACAGCCTCATTCAAAGGGGCAGACTGCCATCTTGTGGTTACTTTGAACATTATTTTCCACAAAAATTTGTGGCAGCTCCACACCTACCCAAGTAAGTTAATTTTTCCTGTCACCAAATTTGTTATCTGATCTTAGCCAAAGCGGTGATTTGTTTAAAAATACCTTTATAAAATGACAGAATCACTTGCAGGGTCAGTATTTATCACCCTGTCTCAATAACTGACTAGCATGTTAGACGTTTTAGAGGGAAATTATTGGAGATTTGTAGTTTATCATTACATGTGTAAACTTTTTAACTTCAGATTTATTTATTTGATTAACCAAGTTTAAATTTTCACCTATTGTGATGTGACTTGAACTCAGTCTCTGATTTATTATACCAGATCTATCTGGATTTATTGTTCTAGTTACATAACCAGATGCTACCAAATCCCCCACAGTATGCGACAAGTGGTCTTACACCCTACATAGGAAAGAGAGGAAAATATTTCCTACCATTCAGCAATTAGCTGTTGTAAATATTATATGTGCAGATGTTGTTGAAGGTCAGCATCTGGCTTAATTGTGATGTTCTACACAGTTGAATAGCCTGACTCAATATAGGCTTCACTCACAAACAGCGAACACATGTGGTTCCAAAAAATGTATGAGATTGATTGTAACCCCCAACCCTTCGAGGTGCTAAAAATAACAGCAACCACAATGATATTAATTGGGTAGCAGTCCAAAATCAGCTTCTCATCTTTAAAATAAACTTTTACAATCAAGTCCTCTTACCTTGGATGGTTAGATCACCAGAAGCCTTTTTGCATGTACTTGCATCTCAATAATTACCCAGCTCACCAGAATGAACACCCCCTTCCCAGTTAACTTCAGCCTGGTTCAAATACTCGACTGTTGAGAACTCAACTGTTAATCCAAGAGTGTACTTGGCAACTTTGGTTCTCCCTCCATTCCGGTTGAGTACACAGGTTTCACAGCCATGCTCCTTCTCCCCATTTTCACTGGATCTGCTACAACTGCAGTAATGCATCTATATTGACAAAGGCATGATGTTCCCCTGGACCCAATTACACCCAGCTAGTCAAAAGCAATTCACTTCCTTGGTTGCTTAGTTGACAGTGTGCAGTGCAAGGCAGCAATTATTGCTTCACAGATGGCACTGAGCATAGAAGGCAAAGCAGGCAGCTCATGGCTGTAGGAAACAGTGAACAGCCAACATGAAACAGGGTGTATATGTCACTGTATCAGCAGGGGTGATGCATGTGCCTACAGTTTACATGGTAAATACAATGTATGTGCTTGAAAAACATGGCAGTATATCAAAGGCAACAGGGAAGCATACTTAGTGGGGCAAGGTGGTTTCCAGCTAGTCACAGTGGTCCAAAACAATCCGTACACAGGCTGGGCCATTCATTGTCTGCAGCCAGTCAAGCACTTGGTCCAAAGCAATCTATACCAATGCACCACAAGAAATCCTGGCAGTGAAGCAAAATAAGTCTGGGCCTTACTGGTTGCAAGTTGTGATTGTCTTGCATCTGGACATTGGGTCGCACATGATCAGGAGAGTTTGTTGTTGAGATTTCAGGCAGATCAGGTCTACGGATTAGCCTGATTGTATTTGGCAGCTGAGGGAACGGTCGCATGGGTAGGGGTCAATTTTAAATAGAACCTGACCAGGTAAGTTATCAGAGAGGAATGCAGAGAATCACAGGGTTGTGAACAATGGGGTCTATTGCATGTGTCACAGGACACAAGTCCCTTTAGCAAAAGTCAAGGCCAAGCCACACCATACTGACCTGAAAATCAACTGCACAGGGTTTCAATATCTACAAAGCATTGCTCAAAGTGAGAAGACCAAGTGCGTGCTTTCTTGAAACAGGGTGGAGTTCAGGGCTAGAATCTGAAGTCTCCTAAATGGCTATTCCAGAATCACACAATGCTATACATCTGTATTCAATTCAGAATCAAGCAGAATCTTTGAACAATTGAAAGAAACAAATTTCCTTTGCTCACTTATCTAAAAGAGAACAAAGTTGTCTGCACAAAGTGCAATCTGAAAGAAAGGGCGCAGAGTTAGCAGTATCACCACAAAACTGGTAATGAGTCAAGCAAAGCATTGACAAGAAGATAGAAAGGATAGAAACCTGGGGAACCCAGAATTCACAAAGAAGTGTGTGTTAATATAATGAGATAAAAGATAGGACGAATAGATAGAATGAGTATAAAAACTGAAAGAACTGCGGATGCTGTAAATCAGAAACAAAAGCAGAAATGGCTGGAAAATGAAAAGCAGGTCTGGCAGCATCTATGGGAAGAAATCAGAGTTAATGTTTTGGGTCAAGTGATCCTTCCTCTGACCTGAAACGCTAACTCTGATTTCTCTTTACAGATGCTGCCAGATCTGTTGAGCTTTTCCAGCAATTTCTGTAGAATGAATACAACTTTGTCAGAAACCAATTAGTGGCAATATATTTAGAAGTGGATAGAGCTAGACACTATTGACAAAAGTTTTGACGAAGATGTTCAAATGGTTAACTAATATGTTTCTGAGCAGAGATGAAGATGTACAGAAAGCAGAACAAAACCAGAGGAATAACCAAGTTTTAAACCATCCTACTACACTTGGAGCATACAGGATTTTCAAAGTTACAGACTCATTAGATAGCTAACAAGGGAGGAGGACATCTTTAAATGAATGATGATGATGATGATGAAGAGCAATCAGAACAATCTAAGTATAAAGTTTCATTGAATTAGTGGATCCAGTAGACATTATCATTTTTTCTCCAAATGGGACGTATGCCCAATCATCACTTGCATAAGTTTAAAAAAACTGAACAGACTACAAAATCACACAAACTCTGTAATTAACTAAATATATTGATTTTAGTAATGCAAAAGCACAAATTACAGATATCTTAATTTATCTCACCAAGCTAGAACAGAGTGAAATCAAGATAGCAAATCAAGAAGAAAAATTCTATTCAGAAATTCCCAAAGTATAGTCACGGATAACAGACCACTTCTAGTTAACAGTACAAGTTGTCCATTATGTCTTTCTAATTCTCCAATTACTTTCTCCATTTTCAGAGTATTTACTGCCAGGAACTTTTTCCATTTACTCCAGTGAAAGGAACTCATACAGCATCATTCACTCTACACTTCACTGCTATCACTTATTGCCAGTTTCCAGCTCAGGTGATTGTAGTGCCACAACTTCACTTCGACATGTTATCACCTGTCAGGCTGTAGTGAAATCACCATACTTTTTAAAAAATACATTAAAATATACATACTAATAAATGTTACTGAACATATAAACTTAGTTGAGAAGTTTTGTTTAATTGACAGTCTTCTACTTTCAAAATATGCAGGTATAGTACCCCATACAGATTCGTAATGTATAATTATTAACGTGCTCACGGTCATATTGGTCATCGGTTTCCATGATAACCAACATACCCATCAGCATCTTTAATATGAAGTTAGACAGATGTCTGCTTGTAGTTTTTAGTATCCAAGATTTTTTTGCCGCACATTGCACAGATGCCTGTAACAAAAGAAAAACTGTGTTACTGCTCAAACATTTGAGGTTTCAGTTGACCAAGATTAAAAACAAGCAAATACTGCAGATATGGGAACAGCTAGATACACTTATTAGATCAGGCAGTATCTGTGGGAAGAATAGAAAAGAGAACATTTTAGGATCGACCCTAGACCAGTACTAGAACACTATACAAATAAATAGTACCAAAATAAATAGGATAGAAATAGAAAGACTTAGACACCAAATGAAATAGAAACATAGGAATAAGATTGGTCATTTTGCCTTTCAAACCACTCAATTAATCATGGCTAACCTGTACCTTGCCTCATGCACCACTTGACTTTCTCCACCCATCCCTGTTGAATCTGAGTCACTACTTTCAAAGAGAAATCTAGTCAGTCCTACCACTGCAGTCCCACTTGTTTCTTTTACTTTTCCATTACTATCGCCCCAAGAAAGATTCGTTTAATTTCCTGTCAAACACTAATTTAAATCTATGCCCACTAACTGCAATAAGAAAATGAACTTGAGGGATAAATAAAGAGAAATGATTTAGATCTAATCATTAGTACAGAGACACAGTTACAAAGTGAAGGAGGGCTGGAAATAAATATTCCACCATAAATAGTATCTTGGAGAGACAGTAAAATAGCAAAGAAGAGGAGAGAGCTCTGATTGTAAAGAATGACATAAAAGCATTGGTGAGAAAGGATCGGGCCTCAGAAGATCATAAAGTAGAATCATAATAGGTGGAAATTAGGAATAGAAAAAGTTAGAAAACGCTGGTGGGTGTAGTTATAAGCTCTAATAACCTCTTGTTTAATGTTTTGTCCGAAGCAATATGATAATTGTGGGAGAGATTAACCTTCATGTAGACTGGGACAAACTAATTGACAAAAGTGCTCCAAAAGTGGAATCTATAAAATGTTTTTTGGAACAATTTATTGGTGCAACATGTTGCGGAATGGAATAGGGTAATGCTCGAGTTGTGTAATATTGTGTAAATTGTCAGACAAAATATCATCTGGGAAATAATGTATTGAATTCCGCATCAGGTTTGAAAGTGATATACCCCAAACTCAAACAACAATCTTAAGACTTAAAGCCAACTGAATAGAATGACAGCAGAAATAAAGTTAATTGGGTAAATAGATCTCAAGATATCACAGTAAATTAATAATGGGAAGCATTTATGGGCGGCACAGTGGCTCAATGGTTAGCATTGCTGCCTCACAGCGCCGGGGAAGTTACTAAGAGTTCTGTCAACCACAGTGGTGGAGAATCTTCAGTTGAGGAAGATTGTGGACATTTCATTTCATGATTATTTCTTTCACTGTCTAATATTTTACTGTAAACTTTGTCATCACTGCATAGCTAGTTTTATACCTGTGTTGAGTTTGTCATTGTTGATGTTCACAGGCTACCTCCACTAAAATCTCTGTTTAAATTTGTTTTTCCCATGTAAAATAATTGAAACAAAATGATTACTACATACCTTTTTTGTATGCACATCCTTGACAGTAATTAGAACCAGCCTGGTGAACTGCACTTTTACAGATACGACATACTGAAAATCTGCTCTTTCCGTAAGGATCAAACCTAAGAGGATCAAATAATTCTGTTAGATTGTTATTTAACAAGACTTTAGAAAGGCAGATTTTAAGGAACTAAATGTTCGGAAGACTGGAAAATACTGTAGAATAGGAAAAGCTTTGAAGATAAGTGGTGTAGAAGTTCAGAAATACTTCATAGGATACAGAGCAGGCAAATACTACTAGGGAAGAAGAATAAACAAGGACTGATATTGGCAACGAGATTATAATGGAGCAAAATAAATACAAGAACATATAATTAAAGCTAAAAAATTAGCCTGAGAGATTGGAAAACACTGTTTAAATGGTAAAAGTGGTATCAAGCTACACTGTTTGCAGCAAATGAATAAGAAAAAGCAAATAGTGGTTGATGCTTGTGAAAGACTGAATACTAATTCTGATTTATGCCTTAAGCAGAAGTAGAGTATTCTTTGGTATTTTCTCCATTGTTTCTGGAGAGATAAATGTCCTCCTTCTTCTCAGGCAGTCCCTCAAGATTGAGGATGACTTTCTGCCACTCTGGAATTGTGGGTATTGAGATGACCAAACAATCCAATACTGGATCTGCACACCCTGCCACAGTTGAGGCAAATGGTGTTTGAGGTGGGACAGTGGGATATTGGGGTTTTCTCAGGTTCCTTCTGCTGTTTGTGCCTGGCCTCCAACTGGGTTTGTCACAAATACAGTTGCTTCTTCTTCAGTTTGGACAGTCTTGTGCAAAAGAGATTCCCATAAGTCAGTGGGGATATTTGAAGATGTCTTCGAAGCATTACCTCTGTCATCCCGCTAACTGATGGCCATTACAGAGCATAAATTCCCAATTAGTCAATCTCTGATAGGTTAGTAAGCTTTTTTTTAAAAAAAACAGTAGTCGAGGCACCAGGTCAGGACACCTCAAGAAACAACTATGGAAATTAGGCTAATTTTCCCGCATTTACGTTCAAGGAATTAATGCAAACAAGAATTTGTTGAAGATTTAAAACATAGATGAAGCAACACCAATCTCCAAAAAGGGAAACAGGAACAAACTAGGAAACTAACAGCCTAATATCTGCTGTGCATTCACTGTTAGAGGTGTTGTATAGACATGCCAACTCACTGTACTGTACGAGCTGCTGCTTATGATGTAGGCTGCTGCCATTCACTAAGTGCAGGAAACTACAGGTCTAGCGCGGTAGAGGAAAACCACTTCCTGGTCTAACTAGAAGCCTCTCTTGTAATTAATAAGATTATAGTTTACTGCATATTAGCAACTAGCTACAGGTTACATTGATATGACAAACATCACTACATTGAGGTGGTTCAGAGTTAGATCTCATTCCTTTGAGATTCCAAGCTGTTCTGCTCACAAGTCCCCATGACATCATCACAGAAGGTAGTGCTCATCATACTCCTCAGCATTAACTCTTTCAGACTCATCTACAACAGAAAGGATCGCAAACATTGCGCTAATAAAGAGACTGGCATTCCATGGTAAAACAAAATCAGCATTAATTTGTAGGAAGTCCTGCCCAATAACTTTTCTTAACTGAGGAAATTAAGAAATTACTGGTGAGAATATTCAACACATTTTGACTGATATAAAACTATTAACACTGGGCTATACAATAAATCCTCAACGCAGGTTTTGGCAACTACCATAAGTACTGCAGAATCTTTCTTGATCATGTATTTTCTATGCTTCCAAATAAAAAAAACTGCAGATATTGCCTCCAAATATACATCAGAAAGACCAAAGCCATTGTCCCTGGTCCCTATCACAAAGTCCATTCCTGAATCACCAAGTCTGTCCCTTTGCCTGGCCACTATCTCAGGCTGAACGTGCCCAACCTAACTATGAGATGATATTCTGATTCTACACCCTCCCATTCAACAAAACCACTTGCTTCCACATCACTCCCATCCATCTCTGTCTCAGCTGATCTGCTCATGAAGCGCTCAATTGGTGATTTGCAAACTGCAGATTCAACTACTTCAGTATTCTCTTGGCTGTCCTCAACATTCAAAAACTTAAGCTCATCCAAAATTCTGCTGTCCCTATCCTGCTTCACGAAGTCTTGTTTACCTGACACATTGTGCTCACTTACCTAGAATGGCTGACAGTTCAACAATTTTTGATTAATGAAAGTTCAATGCTGTTCAAATCCCTCCATGGCCTCACCCCATTTTCTCTGTAACATCTTCCAGTACCACAATGCTCCGATATCTACACTTCTTCAGTGCTGGCTTCTTGTACATCTCCAATTTTAATTGCTTTACTCCAATTGGTAACTGTGATCTTAGCTACCATAGACCCAAGTTCTGGAATTCTTCTGGAAATTTACTTTGTTCCCAAATCTGTTCTTTGTCCTAATGGTGTTATATTTTGTTTGATAATGCTCTTCTGAAACAACTTGGAGTATTTTACCATGATTGACATACTATATAAATGCATGTTGATAATTTTGGGAGATTGCCTTTTTTAAAAAAGTAGGTATCATAGTGGGCTTATGTTTTGCAAAGTCTAAAATGACAACTAAGTAAACACACCAAGGTGGCTCACAGAATGCATTTGGATAAAAAACCAACACTGACCCAAAGAAGATCAAAAGGAAAGACAAAAAGCTTGGTCAACAGGATGTTAAGATAGATTTTTAAGAATGAGAGACAAAGACATTTTGGAAAGTATTTAAACAGGTTAAAGCCTCAGTGACAAATGAAAATGCTATTAACAGTAGGAAATGGAAGATCTGCAAGGTCAAAGTTGTAGCGGTGCAGCACTATTGGAGCTTGGTAGGTCTACAGAAGCTGAACACAGATGGTTGAGGCAGAAGCAGAGACAAATGTTACATTGTCCTTATGATGGAGTGCACATGATTTCAGAAGCTCATTCAGTCACGTAGAATGCCAAGATAGAGTAGTCAGTGATAGGGATAGAATCAGAGGCAAGAAAACCAAATTTACCACACTGGGTCAAAGAAAATGGCTATAGTCCTTTCAAAATTTTAAAAGTGCAGTTTATTTGGGATATTGGATATGCAGCAAGTAAAATGCTAATGTGGAGGGCCGGTGCAGATACAATGGGTTGAATGATCTCTTTCTGCACTGCAATAATTCTACAATTCTGTGATGCAGTAGTAAAGGTGGTCAAGAGTGGTGTAGTGAAATAAAAATGGGTGTCACAATGTACTTGTGGAATTTTATGTTGCACCTTTCATTGATGGATAAAATGTATAATGTGAATACGTGAAAAACTGAGATTTAACAAATCAAAAGAAAGTGAACAATTTAAAAATGTACATTTCTCAAGTCTCCATTCATTTATGAAATTATTCACCACTGCATCTACAAATGACTTAAATCAACAGGTTAGGGGAGTCCAAAACTAGAGGGCATAGGTTTAAGGTGCGAGGGGAAAGATTTAAAAGGGACCTAAGGGCAACATTTTCACGTAGAGGGTGGTGTGTGTATGGAATGAGCTGCCAGAGGAAGCGGTGGAGGTTGGTACAGTTACAACATTTAAAAGGCATCTGGACGGGTATATGAATAGAAGGGGTTTAAATGTCTATGGGCCAAATGCTGGCAAATGGGACTAGATTAATTTAGGATATCTGGTCGATATGGACGAGTTTAGCCAAAGAGTCTGTTCCCATGCTATACAACACTGTGACTAGGTTAAAATTTAAAATCCTTTTACCAGTTTTGCAAGGTGCACCCCTCCAAGAATTATATAATTACAAAACTGTTCAAGCCACAATGCTTCTCAAAATCATAATTTAAGTAAAACATAAAAATATATTCTAATTAAACACAGTGGTAATCTAACAGGGGTCCCCTTGTTCAATTCTTTGACCAGGCTGTTTGCTAACCTCGGTCAATCTAGTAGTTGGATCACTGCCGTTAATCCATAAACAGCCAAAATCCAAACTTTTACCCAGCAATCTCTGCTGAAAGAACTATTTTTACATAATGACGATTAAGTTACTATGACGCTAATGACAACAGCAATCAGAAGCTCTCAATGTCCAAGCTTATACATAAAAACAGCCACTCATTTCGGCTACTGGAGCATTGCTTGTACCTACAGAAACTCACATGCACCTTCAACGTTTAGAGACGCTATCTTTGAAAACTCAGCGTTATACCAACCTTGCTTTTTTAGAAGTCAACGCCTTGTTTTCATTGATCTTGCGGCCACCGCTTTCTGTTTAAATGCATTACAACTTAAATTAGAATGGCATGTTCCAAATGAGTATAAAGAATATTTAAATCCATATGCAACTATGTAGCAACTGAATTTGGTTAGTACCCATCGTGTTCCTTGATCCATCTTTCCAAGTATCTGGTGTAATAACTCTTCCCAGCTTCTTTTCACCTACAAGAACAAAACAATAGGCAATAACTTAAATAAACCCAAAGAGGAAACAATAAAAAATTACATTAATTTATATTAAGGACATGAACTTTTAATTACAAACCTTAAGAGACCTGTACAGTCAGATTAGTACCCTTAGAACAGTACAGCACCCTTTTAAATACAAAATTTCTAGCTATTCTTTCATCACTGCTTTAATAACAGAAAACACATGCACTAACGTAATGGGTTTGGGGAAGTAAAGCGACAATGTCAGAGCTGTTTTATGTGATATTTTATGTGTTCCTTTGTTCCGAGGAAGGGTCACTAGACCCAAAACATTAACTCTATTTTTCCCTTCACAGATGCTGCCAGGCCTGCTGAGCTTTTCCAGCAAGTTCTGTTGTTGTTCCTGTTTTATGTGATGACGGGGATGGGAGGGACAGAACATTTGAAGGAGACGGTCAGTGAAGGGTGAGAGGGGTCTAGGAAAGGGCGGTCAGCAGTTATTGGGAATAGGGAGAGAGGAGGCGGTTCTCCTGATAAGATGAGCCCACAGGGAGGCCGGGGGTGAGGTGGGAGAGAGTCTCGGGCTAGGAGCGGGGCCCAGTCGGGAGCGGCCACAGCCGTGAATGGGTGGGTGGGTGAGTGAATGTCACCGGGCTGTGAGCGGCCTCACACCCAACCCTAAGCCAGCCCAAGCCCAAGCCCACACCCACACCCAGGTCCCGGTCCCCACTCACATTTCTCACACACCATCCTCCACCGCCGCCGGCCCCCACTTCCGGCAACAAACCAGCTCAAGCGGAAGTTGTCTCCCGGGTCTTAGTGCGCTCCAGAGCAGAGACTCAGGCATGTTGTGGAGGTGTCTGGGAGCCCATTAGAAATCCTTACAGGAAAAATGTTTCATACAAACTAAATTTATTAAACTTTACCATACTGCTGAGAAACAGAACACGAGAAGTATCAATCAGTTTCCCAGCCAGGTGTTGTATTAAGAAATTCTGGCTGCGTTTAGAAGTTGCTCCTCAGGGTGAAGATCCACCTGGAGGTGTCAGAACTATCTGCTTTGAATGTCTGACCCTGTTTTTGTCCCAATGTGGGTCGCTTACATTTTAAAACTCAAACATTTTAGACCAAGCTAACGGTTTTAGGAGCACAGTTACATGTGTTTATTTTTAAATTCAGTGTTTGCATTTGAGATGTAACAAGTATGCTTCTGGGATCCAGTTCTGAAAGTTAAAACGCTTTTAAAGTTTTTGAAATTCTGACCACGGCTAAGGCTTAAAGTCTTAAATTGCCAATTTATTTTTGTTTTCAATGGGCTACAATTCACTCACACCTAAGACTGTAGACACTATTTATAGACAAAGTCTTTTTTTAAAATCTTTTACCAATTCCAATTTAAAACTAGTTGCCAGACTTTTTTGAAAATTACATGACCCTAATTAATAATTTACACTGAGTTTTTACCTACAGGGTTAAATGGCCTCCCTCTGTGCTGTAAATGTCTATGTGTCTAATGCAATAATTTAACTTCTCCAAAAGCACATTACTGAAGTCATTGAGTTAATAATAACAGGAAACAGCAAGCCAGGCAGCATTGGTGGAGAAACCAGAATTCACTTGAAACATGAGATAGCAAGAACTGCGGATGCTGGAGGAACACAGCAAGCCAAGCAGCATCAGAGGAACAGGAAAGCTTTTCACTTGAAACATGTTTAACTGTTTTACTTGCCAGCAATGCCACCTGAACAGTATGTCATTTTGTATTTTTATTTCCATTATCCTATGGGCTGACGCTCACCAACTGTGGCAGTGCTGATACAGGGCTTTAATTGTCTGTGTGCCAGTATGCCCTCAGGTACACCTATCCACAACACAACATCGTCATGATAAAACTAATGCTGGCCTCCAACACATCATAGAATCATACAGCATGGAGGAGGCCTTTCAGGCTATTGTGTCTGCACCAACAAAAAAACTATTCTAAATCTACACTAGACTCACTTTTTAACACTTAGCCCACAGTCTTTTTTTAAATGGCATTTCAAGTACTTTTTAAAAGGTTGTGAATTTCTCCAGTTTAACTACACTCCAGATTTCCACCAATTTTGGTTAAACAAAGTCTCCTCAAATCACCTCCAAACCTCTCGCCTTTTCTCTTAAAATTATGTTTCCTTGTTATTGACCCTTCAACTAAGGGGGATAGCTTTTTTCATCTTCCTTGTCTATACCCTTCATAATCTTATACACCTTATTTCAGGTCCCCTCTGAGCTTTCTGTGCTCTAAACAAAACAACTTGAACATATTCAGCCTTTCTTAATAGCTAAACTAATCCAGCCCTGGCAGCATCCTGGTGAACCTCCTTTGTACCACTTCCTCTGCAAGCACATTCTTCCTGGCCTACAACAGAACTTCCTCTAGATAAAACTATTGCAGGTACCTGCCATTCTCCCATCAACACAACCTCCCCTGGATACGGCTGACCCCCAATTAAATCTAATCTGGAGAAAACTATCACAGGTGCACCCAGCCCTGAAACACAACTTAATTTTGGATAACAATAGCTGGCCTTCAACACGGTCCCCAAGTGAACTCCACCTAAATAAACTACTTCAGGTACCTGCCACCTCCCCCCAGATAGACCTAACCCCAGCCACTCCCCCACCTGGATACACCTGGCTCCTAGCTACCTGCCACCTCCCCCAAGATCGACCTGACCCCAGCCACTCCCTCCCCTGGATACACCTGGCACCTGGCTCCTAGCTACCTGCTACCTGCCACCTCCCCCAGATAGACCTGACCCCAGCTACTCCCTCCCCTGGAGGTACCTGGCTCCTAGCTACCCGCCCACTTGCTGTAACCATTCTAACGTCGAAATGTTGTATCGCAAACGTCTTACGTAAGAGGTCCCGCCCTCTCGGAATGATTGGTCCAAAATTGCCGAATAGACAGTAGCTGTGGGTCTGATTGGTGGGATGATGTTGCCAGTTTCCAAGATGTTTCCGCCTGTACTGTGTGTGTGTGATGGTGGCTAAGGTCAGGTGTGTAGAGGCCAGTCAGGAACCAGGGAAAGGGAGATTCCAGATGCAGAAATACTACAAATTATCACTTGACTGAAAAGGCTAGTGACAGTAGGAGATTGTTGTGTTACTTTTGGCAGTAGTCTGGAACATTTTGCACAGACGATTCGGTAACAAAGCAAGGGAAAAATATGAAGGATATTGAGTTAAGAGGCATGTTTTCAGCGCATATTATTCTGGTCCTGTCTATCGTCTTTTCTACCTTGGCCCCTTCTTTATTTTTAGAAGAGTTTTCTGTAATTGGAACCCACTTGCAGTGGTTGTGTGTTTGCTCTGCCACTGTTGCTGCTGTGACCATTGTTTTGTATTTATTGCTGGCAACGAATCCTACCTCCAACAAGAAGAATTCCTCCATTGGCACGGTAAGATCGTGAAGGACGTTTCATATTATTTTAATATGCGGTTTAATACAAAGTGTCAAATAATTTGTATTTTTATATATTGTTTTCCAGGTCACTAAGATCTTCAGATCCTGTTTGTTGTTCTTTATATCCTGTATAGTATTTCATGGAATTTTAGTTTTATATGGAGCACCACTTCTAGTGTAAGTATACAATTAACTGGAATTTTGTCAAGAGTTTCATTTTGAAAGGGTATTTATGGCTTACAGTTAAGAAGAAATTGTAGGTGACTGATCTCTTTAACACGCTCAATTTTCCAGGTGACGTCGGAAACTGGTGGATGACTGTAAGTTGTAAATGCAAGGAATGTAGCAACTGTTATATGCAGGCATCTTGGACAATTAAGTCAATATGTCTTCTCCCACTGTGCTTCATCTAATCCTATCAGTACACTACTTAAGTCAATACAGTTAAAAGTAGCAAATCACGTCAACAAAGACATTTAAAGAAACCAAAATTAAACGATGAAAGCACTGGTGTTCATTTCTGTTGTAGGAATAGAATTCAAAAGCAGACAGAAGAAGTTAAACTTGTACAGAAACTTGGTTAGACATTGCCTAGGATATTGTGTACATTATGTTGCAAAAATAAACTGAGACACAGGAGAAGTTGCACAAATGATTCTCAGATAATCTCAGAACTGAGGGATTAAACCTGTGCCATTAACTCAGAGGATGTTCAAGTGGTAACTTTAGTGATGTCCTTAAAGTTACAAAGAGGTTTAATACAGTGGTTGTAACAAAAATGTTCTTATTTGAGAGAGAGTGTAAAACTTGAGGTGATGAAAATAAGGTAGTTACTAATAAATCAAATAAGGAATTCAGAGTAAATTTCTATAGCCAGAGAGTTGTTTAAATAGGCTATGATGTGGAACATTTGAGATAAACACCTTGAAAGCTTCTAAAAGAAAACTAATAAGTATATAAGGAAGAACAAAATAGAAGAGTGTACTGATAGGATTAGATGAAGTAGGGTGGGGAAGGCATTGGTCAAAGTGCTAAATTTCTGTGCTGTAAATCCTATACAGAAGGTAATGTACCTTGTGTATTTATTTTTGCATTTGAGAATTTGAGTTTGAAATTTGATTTCAAGTTGAGAATTGTGCATTTGAGAATTTTAGATGCAAGAGAAACTAGATGATATGTGCAAAACCAGATGAGAAACTACGGTAATGAGCGTGTAATAGTTCTGGAATGAATTTGCTGCTTTTATATTGCTTAAGAAGTGTCCTAAGCTAGATATGAAAGAGTATTTGACATATAATAATGAGAGAAAGCAATGAAAAGGCAGTGGCATCACTGTTAATTAAGTTGACATAAGTTCAATACTCAAGGATAACATTAATTTGAAAGATCAAAATGTAGAATCAGTTTGGCTAGAGATAAATAACAAATGTAAGAGGGTTCTGTGGGAACAGTTTAAAGGCCCATAATAGATGTTGTGCTATAAGATACCGCAAACAGGGGGGGAAAAAAAAGGAGTATGTGAGAAATGTGCTAAATAATTATGGGTCGATTTAATCTACATGTAGATTGGGAGATCAGATTGGCAAAAGTAGCCTGGAATATGAATTTGTAAAGTGTCATTGGTACGGTTCCTTAAAGCAGCACATTTTAGAACCAACAAAGGAGCAATCTGTCCTAGACTTGGCAACGTGCAATTGGACAGTGTTAATCAATGGTTTCATGTTCATTTTGAAAGAGAGAAAATGTGGCTTCATATGTAGACACTCCTCCTTGAGAAGAAGCAAACTCAATCTCCTTTTGGAAAATAAGCCAGGGCAAGTGACTGAGGTGTCAGTGGGGGTGTACTTTGGGACCAGTGACCATAATTCTGTTAGTTTTAGAATAGTTATGGAAAAAGTCTGCTCCACAAGTTTAAGTTTTAAATTGGGGGAAGGCCAATTTTGATGGTATTAGACAGGAACTTTCAAAATTTGATTGGGGAGGCCTTTTTCAGGTAAAGCATCGTCTGGCAAGTGGGAGGTTGTCAAAAGTGAGATAATGAGAGTCCAGAGTCAGCGTGTTCCTGTTAGTGAAAAGGACAAGGCTGGCAGGAGTAGGGAACACCAGATGACTCAAGATATTAAGGCTCTAGAAAAGAAAAAAAAAATCATTGTCCCAGAAGTGATTGATGAGGATGGTGTAAAGGGAACTTGATTTTCATTTGCAAAGGGTAGAGGAACCTTTCCCCACTAGCCTTTAGAACATTGTTGTGCCTGTCCTGGGACTGTGCAGTGGGGACAGAGCTGAGGAGGTTTGATTATTAGTTTCTTTTTGTATTTGAGTGAGTCAAGGAATGTTAATTTCACATTTCGACCCCTTACTGTCCCTGTTGGTGGGGAAAGAGTCAAGGAAAGCCATTTTGTGTTTGTTTTTGCTTTCTATTTTTTTTCCCAGAGAGTCAGTGGAACTTTATTTCAATTCAAGAGTTGGGGAAACTTTTGCTTTTTCTTTTTTAAAAAGAGTAGAATGAGTTTTACTCTGTACTTAACCTGGGACTGTCTTCATCTGATGGGAGCGGTGTCGGCAGGTGGAAGAGCGGTATTGGACGTGGGTCTTGATTTTTCTGTTTACATCTTTTGTTTAAGAGAATAGAGTGTGGTTGTTCAGACTGGAGGCCTGTGACCAGTGATGCGCTGCTTGGTGCTGGGTCCACAGTTGTTTGTCATTTATATAAAATAATTTGGATGAGAATGTAGGAGGCATGGTTAGTAAGTTTGTGGATGACACCAAAATTGGTGATATAGTGATATAGTTATCTAAGATTACAGAGGAAACTCGGTCAATTGGGCCAGTTGGCTGAGGAGTGGCATACAGAGTTTAATTTCGGTAAATGCAAGGTGTTGCATTTGGTAAGACAAACCAGTGCAAAACTTACACTGTTAATGGTGGGGCACTGGTAATGTTGTCGAACAGAGAGAGACCTAGGAGTGCAGGTACATTGTTCCTTGAAAGCAGTGTCACCGATAGAAGGGTGATGAAGAAGGCTTAAAAATTTTAGCAAAGATTTGTAGCTCAGGTTGTGGGTGAGGTTGTTGACTTGTTCGCCGAACAGTATTGCTGCTAGCTGATGTTCATGTATTCTGATGGCTGGTTTCCTTCCTGTCTGTCCAATGTCATGTTGTGGCAGTTGTTGCATGGTATTTTGTAAACTATGGTGATTCTGCATGTTGTGGGAATGGGGTCTTTAATCCTTTAGTGTTTGTCATAAAGTGGCTGTGGGCTTGTGTGCTACTATGATTCCTCGTGGTCTTAGGAGTCTCATTGTCAGTTCTGATATGTTCCTGATGTAGGGCAGTGTGTTAGTGTGTACTGTGTCCTCCTCTTGTTGTCTATTTAGTAGTCACTGCAACACTCCAGAACTACGCAGGAAAGAGGAACAGCACCTATACAAAATCTTCGCTATGAACGGATATCCCCACAACTTCATCTTCAGGTGCCTGCTAAATAGACAACAACAAGAACGACACGACGAACTCTCCTTGGACAATGAAGGCCATCAGTTTAACTGGGACAACGTAACTAGTAGCCCAAGCCAAAAGTAGACATGCACAGGAATTCCTAGAGGCATGGTTCTCAACCTGTAATGCAATCAACAAACATATAGCATTGGACCCCGTATACAAATCCGTACGGAACAAAACCGGAAATGATCACCATAACGGACCAGACAGAATAAATTCCAAGCGGAATAGAACAACATCGCTTCATCAGAGGTCTCACTGATGATGTTACCTAGCATGGTGACGAAACGTCTGAACGAAAACAAGCCAGCTTGGTGAAGAAGGCATTTTTCCTTCATTGGTCAGAGCATTGAGGGCAAGAGTTGGGACGCCATATTACAATTGTACAAGACATTGGCAAAAGCCATATTTGGAGTACTATGTACAGTTCTGATCACCCTGCAATAGGAAGGATGTGACTAACGTGGAAAGGATGCAGAAAAGATCTACAAGGATGTTGTTGAGACTGGAAGGTTTGAGTTATAAGGAGAGGCTGAGTTGTCTGGGACTGGAGCTTCAGGGCCTGACGGGTCACCTTATAGAGGTTTATAAAATCATGAGGGGCATCGATAAGGTAAATAGCCAAGGCCTTTTTTCAAGGGTAGGGGAGTCCAAAAACTAGAGGGCATAGGTTTAAGGTGAGAGGGTAAGGATTTAAAAGGAATCTGAGGGGCAACTTTCTCACACAGAGGGTGGTGCATGTATTGTACGAGCTACCGGGGAAGTGGTAGAGGCAAATACAGTTACAACATTTAAAAGACATTTGGATGGATATATGAAAGAGAAAGTCTGAATAGGGATATAGACAGATTAAGTGAGTGGGTAAAAAGAAGTAGGCAGACTGCGTGTAACGTGAGCAAATTTCAACAGTCCCCTTTTGACAGGAAATGTAGAAAAGTAGTGTGCTATTGAAGTGGAGACCGATGGCAGCAGTTGGTGGTACATAAGGCTATGACTGTCCTGGAAGATGAATCACAAAGTTAGTATGCAGAAAGAGCAAGTGATTAGGAAGGTAAATGGAATATTTTCATATATTAAAACAATAATGGAAATTAAGAATAGGGGAATTTTTACTGCAGTTGCGTAGGGGATTAGTGATTGCACATCTAGAGTACAGTGTATGGTTTGGAAATCTCATTTTAAAACTATATATATAATTACATTGAAAGCATTTCAGAAAAGGTTCACTCAACTTTAATTGTGGGATGAAGGACTCCCCTTATGAAGAAAGGTTGAACAGTTTAGGCTGTATGCATTGGAATGTAGAAGAATGAGAATTGAGGACTGAATAGGGTGCTAGCAGGAGGATTTTTTTTCTCTTGAGGGAGCTTAACAATGACATCCAAGACACGTGAGAAGTATCTTTCTCTCAAAGGGTCATTAGAGCATTGATAGTGGAGATTGGGTCATTACATTTATTCAAGGCTGAGTTAGACGGATCTTTGGTAGACAAGGGAGTTGAGGGTTGTGAGGTGCAAAGAGGAAAGTGGGTCTAAGACCACATCCAGATCGGCAATGATCTTTGAAAAGCAGAGCAGGTTTGAGAGGCCAAATAGTCTATTCCTGCTTCTATGTTCCTAAATGGCTTGTACAGACAAAATCTACAATGCAAATTGCTTTGTACCCCTGTGTTTTACTTGTTTCATCTGACTTTTTAGGTTGTCTTCTGGCAATTTTTATGGTCAGTTCTTTTCAATCTACCCTACCCTGTCTCCAGAATTTATTTCAATTATTTGCAGAAAAATACAGGAAGTTTGACTTAAGAATGTCGATTAAGATATTGAAAGACTGAAAAACAGCAATGTTCCCTTTTCTTTGTTAGTAATGCAACTCTGAAGCGGGGCAAAAAAAAATTCAGAAACAACGAAAAAGATTGACTGGGAGAATAAAAAAAAAAGCAGAGTATATTTTAAACAGAGCATTACTGCAGAATTCAGAGGTGTGGAGTCATTTAGGCGTTTTTGTGCGTGAGTCATAACAAGTTAGTATGTAGGTACAGAAAGTCATTAAGAAGGCTAATGGGAAGCTATCCTTTATTATGTGAGGAATTGAACTTCAAAGTAAGGATTGTATACCTCAGTTACACAGAGCATTAAAGAGGCCACATATTAAATGTTGTATGCAGTTTGGTCTCCTTTTTTAAGTAAGGATGTAAGTAGACTGGAAGTGGATCAGTGGAGTTTTGGTAGAAAGCAGACTATTCCATTTTTCTGAGGAAGGGTCACCAGACCCAAAATGTTAACTTTGATTTCTCTTCACAGATGCTACCAGACCTGCTGAGCTTTTCCAGCAACGTCTGTTTTTATTCCATTTATATGCCTGCTGTGTAAAGAAATTGGATCTTAAAACATGAATGAACAACCAGTTAAATTTGCATCTGTACTTTCTTGTTCCTAATATTGGACATCACTCTGGGATTCAGTTTAGATATTCCCTTTAGTGTCTTAAATAAACCAGTAAGGCGACCTATAAGTTGCCCTTTCAGTGCCAATAATCACTTCTCAAAGCATCCTATATAAAAAAACGTAAATGTCTTCATTATTAATTCTCTAAGGACAGAATGTAAATCTTCCCAAGTCCCCACCCATCTTTCCTGTAGACTGTTCCTGTAACTATTTTATTGCCACTTTGGTTCGCTTCTACATTTTTACAACTTTGAATTTCTAGATGTTTAACAGCCTTTAGACCCAAGCTCCCAATTCTTCTACTTCTGCAAATGATACATTGATTTCTTCTTCAACTCATTTCAGTTTTATTTCCATAAGCAAACTTGCAGGTTTTATTATCAACTTCTCTCTTAAGTGAACTAACAGTGGCCCCAGATAATGCTCCCTTGATAGACACAATATCTTATTTATTTACTTCTGGCCGTTCTGCAATGTAAAATAATGTACTGCAATGCCAAAGTCTTTGCTTGAGTGTTATATTTAATCAACTGAGTTCTTGCAAACAAACTCTATTATAGCCCTGATGAAATCTGATAGAGCTGCAGAGTCTCGTCATACTATGCTGGGATTTTTTTTTCACTGGACCGTACAAGGTTGAAGGTGACCTTGTAGAGGTTTATAAAATCATGAAGGGCATAAATAAGGGAAAAGACTTTTGCTATTTGCCTAAGATGGGGGTGGGAGTTCAAAACTAACGGCCAGGTTTTTAAGGTGAGAGGAGAAAGATTTAAAAAGGACAGGAGGACTTTTTTACACGAGTGGTTAGAGTGTGGAATGAACTGCCAGAGAAAGTGGTGGATACAGTTGCATTGTAACATTTAAAAGACATTTGGATAAGTACATAAATAGGAAAGTTTGAATGGATATGGGCCAAACGCAGGTAAGTGGGGCTAGTTTAGTTTGGGAACATGGTTTGCGTGGTTTAGTTGGACCGAAAGGTCTGTTTCCATGCTGTAAGACTCTATGATAAAAACGAAGTCTATTGAGTGAAAGAAAAGTTTTGTTTTGCTTTTATTTATTATTGTTACATGTACCTAGTTACAGTGAAAAGTTTGTTTTGCTAGCAGTACAGGCAGATCATACTATACACAGTGCAGAAGAGTAATAGAACAGAGTGAGGAATACAACGTTACGACAGAGAAGATGCAAACAGCGAGATCTACATTAAATTTAAAATTTGAGAGGTCCATTCAGAAATCCAATAACAGCAGGGAAGAAGCTGTTCTTGAATGTTTCAGTATGCGGGCTTAAGCTTTCGAACCTTCTGCCCGATAGAAGAGGTCGTAAGAGATTATAATTGGGGTAGGAGGGGTCTTTGATTATGTTGACTGCCTTCCTGAGACAGCGAGAAATATAGATGGAGTCAGTGGATGGAAGGTTGGCTTGCGTGATGGATTGGGCTGTTCAAAACTCTCTATGGTTTCTCCTGGTCTTAGGCAGAATAGTTGCCATACCAAGCCTTGATCCATTAGGATAAAATGCTTTCTATGGTGTATCTATAAAAATGTATAAGATTCTTTACAGACATGCTGAACCTCCTTAAGCTCCTGATGAAGTAAATGCCTTGTTGTGCTTTCTTGACCGTTGCATCAACTTGGCTGGACCAGGACAGATTCTTGGTGATCATCACTCCTAGGAACTTGAAGCTCTCAACCATCTCCACCTTAGCACCATTGAGGTAGACAGGGGCGTGCCCTCTACTCTGCTTCCTGAAGTCAATGACCAGCCCTTTTGATTTGCAGATGTTGGAACGAGAGATTGTTATCTTTACACCACACCACAGAGCACTCTATCTTTTTCCTGTATTCTGTCTTGTCATTGTTTGAGATCCAGCTGATAACAGTGGTGTCATCAGTGAACTTGCAGATGGAGTTAGGATGAAATTTGGCCACACAGTCATGAGTGCATAAGGAGTATAGTAAGGTTCTGAGTATGCAGCCTTGGTAAAATAATGATAAAATAGAATAAACAAAAACACAGTGGAAGTATAATGCCAGTTCTCCCAAAATACTCCTTTTACAAGTTAAAATAAAAATGCTTGTACCAGTAGCAACCCTTGTATAGCACTCGCATAAAAATCCCATTATCTAACACCTCAATAGGTTTAAGGTAACTGTGATATTAACCCCTGGACTGGGACATCTGATAGCTTATTCCTGGAGCTTTCATACACCTACATTTATCCAAATCCAACTTCAGGATTTATCCCAACACTTCTGGTCTGGGACTATTACTAACTTCTTTCCATGAGGTAATCTCATTTCAATATATTCCCTCCTCCTCAAGAGCATTGCTGTACACATGCATGTCCATACAGGAGTTCAAAGAACTACCTAAACCAAAGTGAAACAAAAAGCTTTTTATTATGGATGTTTCCATTACACTTAAAAAAAAACTCCCAGTCTGGAAATTTCTAACAAAAACCTTGAATCACAATGATTCACCCCTGATAAGCTTGAAAGTTCTAAATTAAACACAAACCCATTAGATGGTCAAAGTAGCCCCTCAAACTGTTTTTTTAAAAAAAAATCACCATGGCAACAGAAATACTTGCAAGTCAATTATGGACTTAATACACAAAAACCCAGGTTAATGACTCAAAATTCAAAAATAGATTGATAAGTGATGTAAACTTTTATACATATTTCTAATATTGTATTAATATGTAGTAAATATATGAAACTACCAATTATAAACGAGTCTTGTACTTTCCAGGTCCTTCAGGGAGACCTTTATGTTTGCTGTTCTTTTGTCAACCTTTACAACACTTCGTTGCCTATGTATGCTAGGACCCAATGTCCAGGCCTGGATACGTGTCTTCACTAAAAATGGGTAAGTAATGAAGAGAGTGCAGACTTTGTTGGTTCGGTCTTGTGCTTTGTAGAAAAACAAACAAATTGTGGAAGTTTGAAGTCTGCTGGAAATCCAATATATTGAATCATTTAAGTATTGTGTTTTTGTATTTGTATGCAATCTCGTCAGATTAATAAAATCGATGTTGCTGTTGCAGTTGCACCTCGTATAAAATTTTGCATGCAGATGTACCAATTATGTAGTAATTTTGCTTCTTGGTGTAGTATTACAGTAATAAATTCTCAGTCTCAAGGGATTGCCTCAAGACCAATAGACTATTGCAGTATTCGTATAATTTTGTCTTAACAATTGAAGGCATGTATTATTTATCTGTGGACCTCAATAGTGAGTTGTAACAATTATTTGCTGTCTACTTGCCCAGAGAGACTACTACAGTTCATCTCAACCTTGCAGTCGACTGATGACCATTCCCAGTATGTATTCACAGCAGTGGTTGCAGATAGTGTGCTTAAAGATGAGCCCTCAAGAAACTTTCTCCATACCCTTCCTTTTAAATCCAGGAGCTCAGCTCTATGCTGTGTCTCCTCCTGCCATCCTGGTTGAAGTCAGCTTTCCACAGTCTAAAGCTGTCATCTGACAGGTTGGTGGCTCAGCTGCTTGATGGACATGTTGTTCAAGGATCAAGCGAATAACTTTTTTATACAATGGAGTTAGTTTATCTCTTTAAATTAATTTGGTGTATCAAATCAATATAACCACAGAAATGTGCAGCCTATAACAGTGGAATATATCACATTTATGGACTGACTGTGCATTTCTCTCAGCCATTTAAATCCATTTCTAGAGGTATCCCAATGCTCACAAGGATATAGGGCAGATAAACCTGAGTCATACTTAACTATCACGTTCGCTCTTGACACATTTTGAAACACTTTACTGCTAAAATCTTACAGGGCGGCTTAATGTTAATTGCATCAGTCAAAATCCCGAAAAACCTACTGTCCCAAATGTAGAATTCTGGCTGGTCATGAGATACAAGTGTATTGATAGCATCTTAAGCTGCAAGATCAAAATTCAAATCGGTTTCATAATCCAGGGACTTTGTTTCTCCAATTACTATAATAATCAGTACTTTAAATACTTTTAATCTTCTTAAGCTAGTTTAATTTGGTTGTTTTAATCATACTATGGTTAGACCACACTTGGAGTACAGGGTACAGTTCCTGTTTCCATGTGGAGGCACTGGAAAAAATACAAAAAAAGGTTCATTATAACTACCAGAGCCTGGACGATTTACTTACCCAAGTAAAAGGTGAGCAGGCTGGGATGTTTTGTATATTAAGGAGAAAACTGAGAGGTGACCTAATGGAGGCCCTAAAAATTATGAAAGGTTCCTCCAGCTCCACACTGTGTTATCTCTGACTCCAGCATTGGCAGTTCCTACTATCTCTGAGTGATGTATTTGCTGTTGTTTCCAGTGCCTTCGTTGATGCGAGATAATCCGTCTGATTTGATTCCTTTTTTTTCTTTCTAGTTATTTTATACAGTTGAGTGGCTTGCAAAGTCATTTCAGAGGGCAGTTAAGAGTCACCAAAATTGCTGGAGGTCGGGACTCGCATGTAGGCCAGACCACCTAAGGACAGCAGTTTTTGCCTAAAGGACATTAGTGATCCAGAAGGATTTTTTTTTTTTTATAAACAATGCTTTCATAGTAGTCATTTAGCCTTTAATTCCAAATTTTTTTTCTTTTTTTCTGTTGAACTCAAATTCTACCATCCACTGTGGAGATTGAAACTCCAGGTCCCCAGAACATTACATAGGATAACAAGTCCAGTGACAATACCACTAGGCCATTGCCTCCCCTTAAATGGATTGTTTGCTGAAAGAAAAAGGCAGCAGCAAGATTCTGTAAATGCAGAATATCTGTTTAGAATTGAAAGCTGCCTATAAGGCTTTGACCACTTCTTGAAAATTGCCTCATGATGTATTGGTATTTTTATTTTGGTGAAACATTCTAGTATTTATTTCCTTGATCATTGTAATTTGATCAAGCATTACAAATGGGTGAGGAATTGGGCCTGGCTGTCTTCCACTAGGGCTAAAGATCCCTGAAAATGCTCATGCTTTATGAGAGTAAATGACAGAAGAAATTGCAGTCGACTGCTCAGACATCAAAATGTGAGTTAAACGGTTGAGTAATGTCGCCCTCTCAGAATGGGTGACTTCAGTGTGAGTGGATAGTTACAATTATTCAATTTGTCATCTCGACTGCAAGCCAGATATGCCGTACTTTTGAGTTGTCGTTTGTGGAATATTTAATCTTATGGTTATCTCAGCCACAGTGTCTCTGTTCCTCTAATGAATATTTGGCAGGGAGCTCTTCTTTGGATACTACTTTATCTAAACTTTTTGGAGGCTTTCAAACATGTTGGATGCATTTGACAGTGCATCAGAAAAACACGATACATGGCAATGATGCCATATCATGATGAGAGAGATGCACCGATGAGATTGCAGGACACTGTACCCTTATTAGATTACAGACACATGCTTCAGCCTTCTTGCCATTTGGAATAGCAATGTTTCCAGTGGCTGAAATCACATCAGATGCTAGCAGTCAACTTTAGTCTTGTAGAAGAAGACCTGTTGAACCTGGTAGATAGACTTCCGTAGTTGCTCTGAAAGTCAACACCAAACTTATTTTTTTCTTAAAATCTCTGGTTCCTTCCACACCAAAGATATGTTGAGGGCCTCACAGTTGGCTGCACATAACCACATCCTCTGTCCTAAATACTTAATTTGCCAAGAAGAGAGTTGTGTAAACTTCTCTTGTGATGGCAAAAGCCAGAACGATTGAATACTTGGATTCACCTGGATTCCCACCATCTTTGAGATATTTGTTCATCAGTATGCAGCCATAGATTTATGAAGGTACCTTGCATGTTCCCTGCGATCTGTCATGATTCATTGTGGGAGACAAACTTTATGACTGGATTGTGGAAGATAAGGGATACCTTCTTCAAACTTGGCTCAGAATATCTGTTAGTGAACATACTGGTAAGGTTTAGGCAGACTGAAACAAGAGCCACATGACTATCAGGGATTCAAGATGAAGGAACATATATATTTTTCAGATGAAGATAGAACAGAGAATAATGTTAGGGAATGTATTGTTGGAAGAGCCTTTGAGATTTCTGCCTAGGGTGGAAAAGATATGCTAAAATTTTGATAGCTGATCTAATCTGTCATCAGCAAAGCAGAAACAAAATCTTTCAGCTTAATACCAAATCTAGAACCAGTGCTAGCCTGACAACCTAAACAATCTTTGATCTACTATCTATCCATTGTCACTCTCCTCAGCAGATCCTGTCATGTATTGACATTCATCATGTGATTGGTGAAAGTACCACTTCCTGAGTGTCAACTTACTCTAAGTAATGAATTTAAAACTGTCAGCGTTTGCCATTTTTATCCTGTGAAGCTGACAGCAATGTGCAGTTAAATATGAATATCTGAAAGTTAACATCAGAATTTTTTCCTTAGGCTTCCACAGGGCGCATTGATGAAATTCCTCTGGATCAAAATCTTAGAAATCACTGAATTGACATGAGCTTCCCTTTTTGTTTGCTTGTTAAAAACCTTTGAAGAGATGGTGCCTTGTTAATGGAGGTATTATTGGATTTTCAGTGGTGCACAAGAGATTTGCATTTGTATGGCATTTTTCATAACTGCTGGATATCTCAAAGTGCTTTACAGCAAATGAAGTTTTTTTTTTAAGCACTGCTGTTATGTACAGACAGTACTAAATAATGTCCTGTATATATGAACTATAGAAAATATATTATCATAATTACAGCTGAGCAATCTGCCTTGTCCTGAAAAAAAAACAAATTTTATATTTATGGAATGTCCCATCTCTCCTTTCCTTAATAGTTCCAAGGATTTTTTGAATGACTTGTTTTTCCCATCCCTTGTAAAGACTTTTTTTTTTGGAAAATGGACTAAAAATGGAAAAAGGATGCTGCCTTTAAATCAAGGAAACTGTTGTAAATACTGGGTCTTTTTATTTCTGTGCTTTCTAAAAGTGGGCTGACATGGAAAAGATAGCAGGAACTGCAGATGCTGGAGAATCTGAGATAACAAGGTGTAGAACTGGATGAACACAGCAGGCCAAGCAGCATCAGAGGAGCAGGAAGGCTGACGTTTCGGGCCTAGACCCTTCTTCATTTTTTCTGAAGAAGGGTCTAGGCCCGA